ACTTTTGTCTGGAAAAAGATGCTAATCTTTCATTTAAAAAAGTTTATTTGTGGTAACATGTCATGAATGTCAACGTGTCCCGAAACCAGAATTAGAGAAACTTCTGGTTTCTACTCTGAAGTGGGTGTGGATGGCAACAGAAGCAAGATTTCGTTCAGTAGATGCCCTGGGACGTGCACCTGTTCCTGGGTGTCTCTGGGAGACTGCTGACTCAAGTGTCCCTCTTTTCTTTATTTTGTGCCCCTCTTTCTTGTGTTGAAGTAGGGAGCAGTGTTAGGTGGTTACTGGCCCCGTCTCAAAGTGTGGGTTTTCCTAAGCTGGGAATCGGGTACTAGAGTCACAGAGAGAGTCATTCATTACTAAAGACGACTGAATAATGGTTACTTTTGGTTTTCTGTCTTTCTATACAGAGCTGATTTGCATAGCATTTTTGATACTGCAAAATGAAATATAAGGCACCAAAAATAAGACAACTGAAGGCAGTAAAATAGTATCGCATAGGAGGCTCATCAGCCATGAAGGACCGAGTGGAGAGAGGAGGGTGAGTATGGTGTGTGGTTTAACTGAACTGTTATAAATACACAACCAGAGCCTGGGTCGGTAAAAGGAATCATGACCTGTTTCCACCAAGCTCTGCGGCTTCTTGCATAGTGGGGCCGACCCAGGCTGCAGACATCACAGAGCAGGCCCGTGGAAGAAGCGAGGCGACAGAGGAGGGACTAAGACTCATACAGGAAAAAGATACCATTTTCCAAATCTTCGAATCTCTTTATTATCAAAAGCAAATGAAGGGCAGGTAGCCTATGATAGGATTTATGTCTCTTCCTAGACACTGGTTAAATCCAGACTAGTGAAATTCTGAATATACTTACTGATTTATGGGGAAAGTAGGGTAGAGTATACAGAATTGGCACCTAATTAAGTCTTGATGGGTTTCCATGAGCGTGGCCGGCAGGTGCCGTCAGCCAGATCTGTTTGAGCTTCTCCATCTACTTTTTTTTAGGCTGTTTTTTGTTGCTCTGAGTTCTGTTTCATCCTTTGTGCCCTGGTTTTCTCATCTCTAAATTCTCTGCCCACCTTCTGGTTCTTACACTTCATGCTTGCCAGGGTTCTCTCTTCAGACCCTCTTCTGTAGAGGCTCTCGGGGACCGTCAGTGGTGGCTGTGGTCCTGCACCCACACAGCTCCGTGCTTGCTTGCTCACCCAAAAGTCAGTGCTTCAAACTCCCTGACCGTCTGCTGCCCTGACTGTAACAGCTCAGAACATCCTTAGTTCTAGTCCTGACAGTTCACTGGACGTCGGAATTGAGTGGACAGCAGGGAACAAGCCTACACTTGATGGGTGACAGTACAAAAACACTTGACTGGGGCTTTTATGCTTGTAGTTATAAAAAGATACTGTATTTTTAAGGAAAAAAACATTTCTCTCTTAATTTCTCTACCTTAGTAAGTCAGTGTACGCTCCATCACATCAGTGGCCACAGGAGTAGGGGTCAGTCTCTCAGCAGAACTGACAGCATTCACTCAGATTTCTTTTCTTGCCCCCAAAATCTGTTGGAGTCAAACTTGTCTAAAATAACAGCCTCTTCCACTGAAATGACATAATCATCTGTAATTTGCTTTTCAGCAAGCCTTGGTTTTGGTGGATTAGAGGGTTTTTTGTTGGTTTGGTTTTGTTTTTGTATTTTTAGCTCTTCTGACTTGCAAGCTCCTTCCCCCCACCCCCACCCCCCCATTGCAAACATATTTCGTTTCTTGCTTTGGAAGAACAAACATTCTAAAAGTGGTGTAGCCAGGTCCAACACAGTGCTGCTGACCACTGAACAAGCAGAAATTTGTTTCATACATCACGGGACAGGGATTCGGATAATAAAGTGTTGATTTTAGGGAACAGTAACCAACAAAACAGAAATATGAATGGTTTCCCCAGTGAGATCAGGAGGCCCATTCATGAAATTAGTGGTGTCAGCGGAATGGAGAGATGTCAGTTGACTTTCACATACGCACACACACTAGAACATAACCAACTTCACACATGCTGCCATTCCTATACATCCACAGTGGCGTTTAAAGAATTTTTTAAAAAATTTAGATTAATTGTAGCAAAAAACCCAGATTGCTTTAAAGGAAATTACAAAGTTACCTTTTAATTCCTGCAATTTACAATGCCTTAGGTGGCAATTCAAAACATACTTAAAATACACAGGCATTCGATGTTCAGACGGACAGATATAAGCTCCTTCTTTAGTTTAGGAAATAAAAACAATCTACAAGCTGACTACTACACTGTCAGTTTGTCTACTCTTTGTAATTTTCTGTGCACAATTTTTTCCCTTACAACTAGATTACAGAATCTTGCTGCATAGTTTGATATCTGCATCTTTTTTAACTTAAGTCTACTGTGGACATTTATCCTTTTTTTAACATATGTCAAGGCTTAAATTTAAAGAATTTAAATTAAAAAAATTTAAATTTAAATTTAAAATGAAGTTTTCACTCTATCCTGAAAACATTTTTAATGACGGCATTATTAAAAAATCCTCTATAATAATTTTTACCAAGAGTGTAGTTTTCAGTTCGAGTTGTTAGCATAAATTGAGGACTTACTTTTTTTGTTATTGTGAAGTTTTTCTTCTTTTTGCTATTTATAAACACTGTGGTTAAACATTCTTACAGACACAACTTGAAGAAAAACCCCACTGTTTATTTTTGTTGGGAAAATTCCTTTGACTCCTTTGTCAGTGTTTCCCTTGGTTCTCCTAATTTCTTCGTGATGTCTTTCATCATCCTCTCCCTGCTTCCAGTTACGTCCCTTCATTGTTGTTGTTATGTGCCGTCGAGTAGTTTGCGACTCATAGCGACCCCGTGTACAACAGCCCTAAACCCTGCTCTATCCTGTGCCAGTTTCATTGCCTCTGACACATCCATCCCGAGTACCCCAGTCACTGAATCAATCCACCTCATAGAGGGTCTTCCCCTCCTGCACTGTCCCTCCACTCTGCCCAGCATGATGTCCTTCTCCAAGGACTGGTCTCACCTCACAACATGTCCAAAGTATGTTAGACGGAGCCTCAGAATCCTTGCCTCTAAGGAGCAGCCTGGTTTAACCCTCTCTAGGATGAATCTGTTTTCTTGGCAGTCCAGGGTACATTCAGTACTCTTCTCCAGCACCACAGCTCAAAGGCATCAATTCTCCTTCTATCCTCCCTAGTCATTGTCCAGCTCTCTGACGTATAACAAGTGATTGCAAAAACCATGGCCTGTATCAGGCGCACCTTGCTCACCATTGCTCTTGAGCACTTTGGATTACTCAGCCTTAATCCCAGATAGCTGGGCTTTCCTTCCCACTTGTTGATATTTTCGACTTCCATCCTAAGGGCCTCTATCGGGGATCCAGCCCCAATATGTCGGGAGAATTCCACCAAAAGGAGGCACCAGGTTGAAATGAAGACGCGGAGAGGCTAATTGCTGATGACAAATAGCAAGTTTAATATTCTGGCAAGGGTATATATACACGTCTTAGGACCGTGCCTGCAGGGGTAATCTCGCATTATCTCTTAGCTGTCCAGAGATGTTGACTGGTAGATAGAACATTCCCAGACATTCACACAAAACAAAGACATCTTCCAGGATATCCTATGATATGTATTGGACAACAAGAAGGTATCACATTCCTAGAATTCTGAGGCCTTTGATCCCTCCTTATTCATTAGCATACTGCTTCCGGGAGTTGTTCACTGTAGAAGGGATGGTCAAGCCAAGATGAGTGGTCCTGCTGTTTTTACTATGCATCGCTGATCCTGCTTTCAGGTTAGCCAGGCCCTGACAGGCCTCTTTCTTCCCTTCCTGCATTTGCTTCTCTCTCCATGTACCAGAGCTGAAAGATCATACCCAGAACAGAAATCCTTGTCTGTCTTCTCGCTATCAATACCCTCATTAATTTCACTTGAATGGCATGTTTTTGTTTTATTTTATATCTTTAGACTTCAAAGAGACATTTAACCAGAAAGATAATCCTACAGCTAAAAAAGCTTGAAAACTGTTAAGACTGTAAGCATTGCCTCTGAATTTCATTGCTAAAATTGCTGCATTTCTCTTGAAGAAATACTATTTTAAAAAAAGATAGAGACTAGGTGCAGAGGGGCCTGGGTTCAAAGCTTTCAGTGACTGAGTGTGCGTGCTATCAGGTTTCTCCTTTGAGGAATGTTCAGACTGCAGTAGATGAAAGTAAAAAAAAAAAAGGAGTGGCACAGTGGCTAAGTGGCTATGAACCAAAAGGTTGGCGGTTTGAACCTACTGGCCACTTGGGGTCAGACAGATATGGGAGTCTGCTACCTTAAAGATTAAAAACAACCTCTGTGCCGTTGAGTGGATTAGGTTCATAGTGACTTCCGTTCCACTTCTGAGGCTGTAAATCCTTCCCAGAAGAGACCGCCCATCTTTCCTTCTGCAGAGCAACTGGTGGGGTCGAACTGCCGACCTTGGAGTGAGCAGCACTTACGCAGGAGCATTATAGCCTAGGACACCCTGGAGGGCAGCCCCACTCCGACCTGTAGTGTTGCTATGACTCAGAGTGGCCCTGATAGCCGCGGACAGATAAAGCTGCTGCTCTCTCTCTCCTTTCTGAGTTATCGAGACCTGAATACAGGTTGAAACCTGAAGTTAGGTTATTTTGGGAGATTCTGGGTTTCACAACCTGACCAAAGTACACACATTAACTCTTGTTGACAGTACGTTCTCTAAGTACTATAAGTAATGAGTAATATTATATTGTTATAAGTAATAAGTAATAATGAGTAATATAAAGTACTATTTAGTTAGAAAAAACAAATGGGCTAGATATTTGAAACTAGACTTGTTTGCTTTGTAGAATGTTTTAAATGGAAATAACAAGATGATGCCAAGGTTTTCTTTTCCTCTTTTTTTGCAGGGATGAAGAGTAAAACGAGGCTGTGTTTTCTTACGGGTATTTCAGCAGGCCTTCTGAAACTGAACTCCAGTATGACTGTGTTTCCTTCTGGGAACTGCTCTTCTCCGTACAAGCTGCAGCACACGAGCCAGCCCCTGGGCGCTGACACCCTGCTTTTCCTCATTCTATCTGGAAAAACCCTATTAAACGTTCTCATTCTGGGAATGAGAAGGAAGAAGACCCGTGAGCATTTCATGGGACATTTCTGCCTTTCCCTGGCACTCCTTGACCTTTTCCTTCTGATAAGCGTTGCCATCATCTCCCTTTTCAGGGATTTTGTGCTTTTAGGCATCAGGTTTACCAGATACCACATCTGCCTGTTAACTCAAATCATATCCTTTACATACGGCTTTCTGCACTATCCTGTCTGCCTGATAGCGTGTATTGATTATTACCTGACTTTCTCCAAAACCACCAAACTTCCCTTTCGAAGTCAAAGATGCCTTTATCTCCTGACGATAATTGTGATGTGGACGTCGGTGCTGGCCTATGTCTTGGGAGACCCAGCCGTCTCCTCGAGCCGGGGCGCACAGAGCGCCTCCCCGCAGCAGTGCCCCTTCTACGTCAGCTCGCAGGGCGCCTGGCTGGCCTGCTCCGTGCTCTTGGTCTTAGGGATGGCGTTCATCGCCTCCTGGTCAGACGTCGTGGCCATGATCCGCGCTGTGAGGGTAACGTCCTATAGGAACGAGGTGGTCCTCTACCTTCCCCGTCCACCCCATTCGACTTGTACCACGAGCTCGAGGAAAGCACTCCTGCCCCAGGTCCTCGTCTGCTTCCTGGGTACCTGGTCGCCCTTTGTGCTTCTTCAGATCAGCATCCTTCTATTTCGAGTCCAGATTCCGGCGTACATTGAGATGAACATTCCCTGGCTGTACTTTGTCAACAGCTTCCTCATTGCTGCGTGCTATTGGTTGAACTGTCACAAGCTGACTTTAAATGACATCACAGCGCCTGTGGATCCGTTTGTAAGCTGGAAATGCTGCTTCATCCCACTCACCATTCATAATCTCGAGAAAACGGAGAAGCCCATGTCGATAATAATTTGTTAAAACGTTGTCACGTTAAAATGAAGCAAACAGGAATAGAGTCACAATTTTATGGCCAGAGAAGGAGGGCTGCGAACATATGACGTGGTTAGTCCCGCCCAGTGCGGCTGAGGCTGAGGGCTGACTCAGCAATTGAAGAACTAAACAGAACCTGAATTGACACTCCTGCCGTGGCTCCATGTGCACTTTTCTAAAAGATGGCTTTTGAGGCTTTGCTATTATTTGTTAGTGTTTTATTTTAAAAACAAAAGGATGCCAATAAAAGTTTTTATACCTGTTCAGAAATGTTCAATACAAATATTAATTATTAATACAAATGAGTTAGTATTTGGACATACTCTGTTAACCAAAAAAAGTATTGTATGCAAACTGTCATGTGAATCTGAGAGTAACTCTCAACTTTAAGAAGTTTTAAATAAATATTCTTATCAAATTAAAAGAAAACACAATCAAGATAATTTTTTAAAGATTAGCTAAATTTAGCTAATTGTTATAATATATCCCTCTTCTTAATACAAATATTCCTGGGAGAAGAGTTTGGGTTGCTTACCAGAAAGAATATTGGGAAGACAATGTCAGGCTAGAGACCAGGGTGCACCTAATCCAGGCCATGGTCTTCGCAGTTACTTGCTGTTCATCAGAGAGCTGGAAAATGACTGCAGGTGACAGAAGAAGAATCAATGCCTTTGAGTTGTGGTGCTGGAGAAGAGTCTTGAACATCCTGTGGACCACCAAGAGAACAAACAGGTCTGTCCTGGAGAGCTCCGTCTAACATACTTTGTGCATGTTGTCAGGAGGGATCAGACCTTGGAGAGGATGCTTAGAAGGGTGCAGGCAGCACAGGAGAGGAAGGTCCTGGCTGAGATGGATTGACGTGGTCATGGGGTAGCTGTGTCAGACGGTGACATTGGCTCAGCAGAGCACAGGGTTCAGAGATACTGTGCGTAGGGTCGCAGTGGGTTGAAGGCGACTCGACCACACATAACAACCACCGCCTAATTCTTTTATCTAACATACCAGATTCATTTTTATGTGTTAACTTCTGTGTCACATACTGTGCCATTCCATTATTACCGTGTTACCATTGGATAATTGTTAGATTATTGTTGCCGTGTATCAGGGAGTCAGAACTGGCCATAGCTGACCCTTCAGTGGGTTTTTAGAAGCAGGAAATCAGGTGGAAAGAGACTGCCCAGCTTTCTTCCACAGAGAAGCTGGAGGATTCAAACTGTGTACCTTTGGGTTGGCAGTGCAATTCCTTACCCCTAAGACACTGGACCTGAATTAATTAAAGCAGAGTTTTGCAAGCGTAGCATCTTGGGGTTAAAGAATTCTCTGCTTGGTTGGGGGGCCTACTTTGTACATTTACACTCATGGTGGTGCCATGGATAAGCATTTGGCTACTTATCTAAAGACTGTCTTTTGAACCCACCAGCTATTCTCGTAGAAACCACAACCTCGGTTACCCCGTGGGGCAGTTCTCTGCATTCGAATCAAGTGGACAACATAATTACGTCTGGTGTAGAGTGTTACCAGCAGCATCCGCCCATTCCACTTACTAAATCTCAGTAGCACCAGGTATGTCCTTGATCAAGTCATGAGAAAACCCACACCTCTATATGGTCAACTGGGTTCTGGCAAAAGTGCAAAGTCAGTTAGATTTCCATATGCAGAAAAATCAAACAAGACCTATGCCTCGCACCATAAACTTAATAAACTAAAAATGGATGAAGTATCTAAATATGCAAACTCTCTCAAACATAAAATTCATAGAGCAGGCAGAAGCAACATCATCAGCTTTCACTTTCCACAGCTGATTTTCTAATATAACAAAAGCACAAAGAAAGGGAGTTCTGGAGGCGTAGTGGCAAGAAGCTGTGCTGTAATTCTGAAGGGTGCACGGTTCAAATCCACCAGTTGCTCTGCTGGAAAAGGAGGGGCAATCTCCTTCTGTGCCAGTTGGATTTGACTCAACAGCACAAAACAAGGGGGGAAGAAATAAAAATTAAAAGCACAAAGAGCAAAAGAAGAAACAAATGGAACTTCATCAAAATTAAAACCTCTGTTCATATAAAGACTTTATCTTAAAAAAGGAAAAGCTCAGAAATCACATATCCAACAAAAATCTAATAATCAAAATATAAATAAAACAGTAACAGCTTACAAAAAACCCACACAAATAACCCACTCATACAATAGACAAAGGTCTTCAATACACATTTTGCAGAAGACATTTACGTTCCCATGAAACACATTAAAGGATGCTTAACTTCTTGAGCCATCAGATACAAATCAAAGCCACCCAAGAGCCCGTTACACACCCACTAAATGGCCAAGACTGACGGGAAAAGAGCCGTTCCCCAAAATGATGACCTAACAGAATGTGGAAATGATAGAACAGTGTCATAGCCAAGTACAACCTTGTTGACAATTACTCAAAAATGGCTATAACAGGACATTGACAGGGAACTTTCAGAGATTCAACTTGGATTAAGAAGAGGTCAAGATGGGTCTTTACTGGAAGCAGAGAATACCAGAGAGATGCTTGTGTTTTACTGACTGAAAAAGCATTTGACTACGGATCGTAACAAGTTACAGGTAACACTAATTAGAGTGAGGCCCCCTGAACACTCCGTGGTTTGCATGTGAAATCTCAGACCAAGATGATGTTGTTTGAACAGAACAAGGAAACACTGGATAGTTTACACTCAGGAAAGGTGTATGTCAGAGTGGTAGCCTTTCTCTGTATCTATTCAGTCTGTATGCTGAGCAAAACATTGGAGAAACTGTACAGAACGTGGTATCAGGATTGGCGGAAGATTCATCAATAACCTGTGTTATGCAGAAGATACCACTATGCTTGCTAAAAGTGGAGAGGACTTGAAGCACTTGTTTCTGAAGATCAAAGACCACATACAGCCTTCAATATGGGTTACATTTAAATGTCAAGAACAGAAATCCGCACCACAGAACCAACAGGCCCTATCATGATAGATGGAGAAACGATTTAAGTCACCAACGATTTCATTTTACTTGGACCCACACTCCACATCCATGGTCGCAGCAGTTAAGAACTCAGAAGACATGCTGCATTGGGAAAACCTGCTGTCAGGAACTTCTCCCTAGTGTTACACAGCAACTACATCCATGTAAAGATGAAGGTGTCCAAGTTATCTTTTCAGCTGCCTCCTGTGCATCTGAGAGTCGGACACTGCAGAGCCATGACAAAGAAATCACTTGAAGATCTGCATTATGGGAAACTGGAATGATATCTTAAATGAAAAGTTGAAATGAGAAGAACCAAAAAGACTATCTGGAGAGCAAATTTCAAAAACCCTCAGCACTAACAACAACAAATGGTTCATTTAAAAATATAGAAAATAATAAATGCTGGTGAAGCTAACCCTATCTATTGTTGGCGGGACTGCAAAATGATACAACTGATGTGGAAAACAGTACGGTGGGTCCTCAAAAACGAAAGCTAGAACCATCATATGACCTAGCGATTCCTAGATACGTCCGCGAAGGTTTGAAAGCAGAGACTCAGGACGAGCCTGTGTGGCAGTGTTCGCTGAAGGCACTGTTCATGCTGTGAAGTGGCGTACGACTCGGAGCAATGCTGTGAGCAAGAGATCTGAACCCTGGCCTATCTGCGCCGTCCTCACCGGCTCTCACACACTCGCACCCACTGCTACAGTCAATTCCCCTTATCCTAACTCTCCTCTTCCTCCCTTCTCATCCAGAGGTAACCAAAAAATGAGGATCTGCGTGTCAACTTTTCCTTTTTTCTGTAATAGTAGTGGTCTTATAAGTGAGGGACTTCTTTCCCTCATTACCATCTGTTCCAGCGTCATCTGTGTGGTCGGTATTTCATAAATTCAACGGTGGGCTTAAGTCCGGCAGAGATCAGGACGATGGCACAGACAGGTCAAGGTTCAGACCTGTTGTTCATCTACCTCACAGGGTCACGGTGGGTTGTAATCAACTCGATGGGACTGAACAGCAGCAACTAGAAAGATGGTTTTCATTGATTATGCAAAGGTTTTCAACTGTGTGGATAATAATAAATGATGGGTAATATTAGGAAGGAGTTCCAGGGCACTTAATTATACCCATGCAGACCCTGCACATGGGCCAAGAAACAGTTGTTTGAATATGACAGGACACACTACTGCATGGTTGAGTATCAAAAAAGGTGTGTCAGGAGTCTATCTATACCTATTCATCTGTGTGTTGAACCAATAATTCAAGTAAATGGATTCTTTGGAAACATGTGGTATCAGGATTGGAGCAACATTCATCAGCAGTTGCGTTATGTACATGGCACTGCTTTGCTGAAAGTGACAAAGACTTGAAGCATTTCGTGAAGATCTGAGCCTTTGTTATTGATTACACGTTAACATCAAGCAGACATCCCCCTCACCCCCGCAGTTCTGGACCAAAAGCAACATCAGGCAAATGGAGAAAGGTTGAAGTTATCAGATATGTCACTTTCCTTAGCTCCACAATCAACACTTATGGAAGCAGCAGTCAGGATATCAACTGAGGTGTTACACTGGGCGAAGCTGCTTGCAAAGGACCTCTACAAGATGCTCAAGTGTAAGGGTGTCCCTTTGGAAAGAAAGGGTACCTGATGCAAGCCACGGTATTTTAGCTGCTGTACATAAGCATGTGAAAGTTGGACAGTGAAAAGGAAACAGAATTGATGCCTTTGAACTAACTGGTCTGGCAAAGAATATTGAATATAAAACGGACTGCCGAGTGAACACACCGTCCTGGACAAAGTGGAGCCACGCTGCATCTTGGAAGCAAGGATTTTGAAACTCAGTCTCACATACTTTGGGCATGTTTACCAGAAGGCACCAGTCCTTGGAGAAGGAAATGATGGCTGGAAGAGAGGAAGCCCACTGATGAGAGGGATTCCCAGGACCGGAGACAATGGGGCCAGGTGTGTCACGGACAGTGAGGTGGGCTCAGGACAGGGCAAGGTTCATAGGGTCGCT